TTCTGAAAATCATGGAAAATTTCAAAGTATATGACACTGATGGAACTTTTTAAGTATCTAGTTCCATTGGCTCTACACGTCCTCGAGTAATTTTACAATGGTTTGAACTACTGATTCCTTGAAAATAAAATTGAAGAATCTCACGCTATGTAATTTGAGATGTCCATTTCTCCAGAAATTCTGGTTCTCCGGAATTTCATGGAAGGTTTTAGAGTGTTCAAAAAAGATTCAAAACAGAATCCTCTGGAAAATTCGCGAATCGTCTGGAAAACTTTTCTATTTTTCGATCCAGAATATTCCAGAAGAGTCTGGAGTTTCCTATAAATCTTTAGGAATTCTGCAATTCATCCAGAAGCAAATGCTTCTGAAAATCATGGAAAATTTCAAAGTATATGACACTGATGGAACTTTTTAAGTATCTAGTATCTAGTTCCATTAGCTCTACACGTCCTCGAGTAATTTTACAATGGTTTGAACTACTGATTCCTTGAAAATAAAATTGAAGAATCTCACTCTATGTAATTCGAGATGTCCATTTCTCCAGAAATTCTGGTTCTCCGGAATTTCATGGAAGGTTTTAGAGTGTTCAAAAAAGATTCAAAACAGAATTCTCTGGAAAATTCGCGAATCGTCTGGAAAACTTTTCTATTTTTCGATCCAGAATATTCCAGAAGAGTCTGGAGTTTTCTATAAATCTTTAGGAATTCTGCAATTCATCCAGAAGCAAATGCTTCTGAAAATCATGGAAAATTTCAAAGTATATGACACTGATGGAACTTTTTAAGTATCTAGTTCCATTGGCTCTACACGTCCTCGAATAATTTTACAATGGTTTGAACTACTGATTCCTTGAAAATAAAATTGAAGAATCTCACTCTATGTAATTCGAGATGTCCATTTCTCCAGAAATTCTGGTTCTCCGGAATTTCATGGAAGGTTTTAGAGTGTTCAAGAAAGATTCAGAACAGAATCCTCTGGAACATTCGCGAATTGTCTGGAAAACTTTTCTATTTTTCGATCCAGAATATTCCAGAAGAGTCTGGAGTTTTCTATAAATCTTTAGGAATTCTGCAATTCATCCAGAAGCAAATGCTTCTGAAAATCATGGAAAATTTCAAAGTATATGACACTGATGGAACTTTTTAAGTATCTAGTTCCATTGGCTCTACACGTCCTCGAATAATTTTACAATGGTTTGAACTACTGATTCCTTGAAAATAAAATTGAAGAATCTCACTCTATGTAATTCGAGATGTCCATTTCTCCAGAAATTCTGGTTCTCCGGAATTTCATGGAAGGTTTTAGAGTGTTCAAGAAAGATTCAGAACAGAATCCTCTGGAACATTCGCGAATTGTCTGGAAAACTTTTCTATTTTTCGATCCAGAATATTCCAGAAGAGTCTGGAGTTTTCTATAAATCTTTAGGAATTCTGCAATTCATCCAGGAGCAAATGCTTCTGAAAATCATGGAAAATTTCAAAGTATATGACACTGATGGAACTTTTTAAGTATCTAGTTCCATTGATGGAACTTTTTAAGTATCTAGTTCCATTGGCTCTACACGTCCTCGAGTAATTTTACAATGGTTTGAACTACTGATTCCTTGAAAATAAAATTGAAGAATCTCACGCTATGTAATTTGAGATGTCCATTTCTCCAGAAATTCTGGATCTCCGGAATTTCATGGCTCTACACGTCCTCGAGTAATTTTACAATGGTTTGAACTACTGATTCCTTGAAAATAAAATTGAAGAATCTCACTCTATGTAATTTGAGATGTCCATTTCTCCAGAAATTCTGGTTAACCAGAATTTCATGGAAGGTTTTAGAGTGTTCAAGAAAAATTAAGACCACAATCCTCTGAAAAATTCGCGAATCGTCTGGAAAACTCTTCTATTTTTCGATCCAAAATATTCCAGAAAAGTCTGGAGTTTTCTATAAATTTTTAGAAATTCTGCAATTTATCCCGAAGCAAATGCTTCAGAAAATCATGGAAAATTCTAAAAAATTATTAAAAAACTCCAGATTGATACAGCACTTTTCTTCGAGGGAATTTTTATATTAATTTTGCGGAATTTTTCTGTGAAATTATGTAAAAATAACCACACCGATCGAAAATTTTTACGCATGTTCTAGGTAATTTATCCCGTGTGTCCCGTAAATTTCATTGAAATATATTTCGCTTTGATTCTCCATATGTTCTTCACGAAAATTAATTAAAGTTCTAGAAAATTGTAGAAAAATTCCAGAGTTGTGCAGAATATTCTGATGAATTAGGCAATCGTTTGGAAAGCGCCTCCTTTTTTCGAAGCTTTAATTACTCTTTCTAACATATCCCAAATAGTTATTTGTGTCACAAGGCCCGCAAGTGCCTTGCTAACTCACACGAATCGCAAACCGACACTACAGCCCGAGTGGCACATACTATTTTTTGTCATGAATGCCCGGGGGTGCGGGGGGGTTGGGGGGGACGAAGCCCCCCCCCACTGAAGAAAGACCAAATAAACAAAATTGAAAAGAGGGAAATGATAAATTATAAATTCTAAATTAACGGACCGATCTAGGATGAAAAAATGAAGTAGAATGTGTCACAAGGTAAAATTCAACTATTTGTGCTGACGTACTTGCTGCGTCGTCACTGGTATTATTCACTTCACTAAAAATGTCTTGTGACTCTTCTTCGTCACTGTCGGGTATAATGAAATTCATTTCGCTCTTTTGTTTAACGGAATTTGTTACGATTTTCCTCGTGAATTTTAGCTTTTGGTGGCAAACTATAGTTCAGCCGCAAGAGCTATAGTGTAAGAGGGACTCACTTCATGTCTTACTTAACAGGCCATGGCCCGTAAATCGTGAAATCGGGGCTAGTTTTTACTTACCGGCCCATGGCCTGGTAAATCCCACTTACGGGTTCTAAAACACGCCACGAAAACGCCACTTAACGGGCATGAATGACGAAAAAAACATTTCGAAATTCCCTAAAAAATTATAAAAATTGATAACAACTTCTAAATTGATTTGAGAGCTTAATGTCTACGAGACCCTCTCATCATTGATATACACTCTAGGTGCTTCAACAATAATTCAGAATATTCTAGAATTTTTCAACATTTATGGTCTAGATGTCGATTTCGACATGAAAAAGATTGAACCTCTGTAAGGTAGATTACTAAACTCACTAGGTGCTTCATTCATAGATTCAATGAAACGCTTATTTTGAGTAAAACAAGCAGCGCGGCAGAAACCATTTAAATGATTACATATGACTGTTATTCTCCATATATTTATTTCCCATTTCTACCAATTTTATGAGTAGTAGCCTTCCCAATGGATCCTAATTCATATTTTCAAATATTCTCCTCTCTATGCACACACGTATGTACAAAGAGTATATATATCGGCAGTTTAGTAACAGAGTCACGTAACTACCAAAATTTCTGAAAATTTGTGGGAAGAAAACGTATTTCCTTTTTTAATCCAGATTTCCATGTATCAGGATATTTTTAATAAACAAAGAAACGTATCTCCAAGAAATGGGAGTCAGAGAAACGTATATGTAATCAGCATCGAATAAAAGAACAACGTATCTACCGGACATCCGAAGATACGTATGTTTGTTATTGAAACTTTTTTCCACTAATAGCCCTTTTCTATATTTCATCGGAGATACATTGTTTTATTACTTTTTGATAATAGAAAAAAGTATCTCCAAAAAAAAAATCGCGATCAAAGTTTGAGACTCTTCGCATCGTTTCTCTTTTTTCGATATCGCTTTTGTCAGAGAGAAAAATAAATGGTTGCAGGAAAAAATTCTCTAGATTAAAAAAAAGCAAACTTTGTAACTTGCACTTTGATTGAAACTAGAAAAATTTTCTTCATTTCTGGAAAGAAAAAAATTGAATGAAAGCATCGAAATTCGATAAATTCAAAGGGCGGGTTTTATTAAATCGATATTAAATTCGAACAATGAAATAGGTTGGGATAGAATGGACTTTTGAGGGAATTTGAGAGTTGAATAGAGAGGTCAGGAGAGTAACACGCCTAGAAGTAACAAGAAGGAGTTCCCAAAGTCAGAGACAGAGGAATCGAAGGTACAAGTTACGGATCACAGAAAAACGGAATAGGGAGGAGTCTCATGAGTTTCATGCTTCTTATTTCAGTAAACACGGCTCGAGAAAAAATATTTGGGTGATGAGTCTCGAGTAAATACACAAGAATAATTATCTTCATTCGAAAATATCGGCAGCTTAGTAACAGAGTCGCATAACCACCTAAATTTCTCAATTTCTGACAATTTGTGTGAAAAAGACGTACTTTCATACCATCTGGAGATACGGTTGTATGTTCCATATCATACCCCCTAGCTGCCTGGTGTGTGGTGTCTCGAAGTTTTTTGGTATATGGGAAGTAATGTTGTGTCTGGTGGCTGGTGTCTGGTGTTTCGAAGCCTTTGGTGTATGGGAAGCAATGTTCTGTGTGGTGGCTGGTGTCTGGTGTCTCCAAGCATTTTTATGTATGGGAAGCAATGGTGAATCTGGTGGATGGTGTCTCGAAGTATTTTGGTGTATGGGAAGCAATGTTGTGTCTGGTGCCTGGTGTCTGATGGACGGTTGATGGTATTTAGTGCCTGGTGCCTGGTGGATGGTGTCTCGAAACATTTTGCTGTATGAGAATCAGTGTTGTGTCTGGCGGCTGGTGTTTGGTGGTTGGTGGCTGGTGTCCAATAGATGGTGGATGATTGATGGCGGACAGTGCCTGGTGGCTGGTGTCTGGTGGATGGAGCCTCGAAGCATTTTCCTATATGGGAAGCAATATTGTGTCTGGTGTCTGGTGCCTGGTGTCTTGACGCATTTTGGGGTATGGGAAGCCATGTTATGTTTGGTGGCTGGTGTCTGATGTGTGGTGCTTGGTTGTGATATCTGGTGGATAGCGGCCATCCACCAGGGCACCTTCCACCAGACATCACACACCAGATACAACATTACTTCCCATCCACTAAAATGCTTCGAGACTCCATCCACCAGATACCAGTTACTAGGCACCAAAAACCATCCACCAGGCACTCGTCACCATACAGCAGACACAACATTTCTTGCCTAACACCAAAACGCTTCGAGATACCAGCCACCAGACACCAGACACCAGCGACAACATTGCTTCCCTCACACCAAATTGCATCGAGACACCATCCACCAAACAGCAGACATCAGCCACCAGACACGGAACACTACATTGTTTTGCATACACAAAAATGTTTCGAGACACCAACCACCAGACATCATCCGCTATCCATCATCCACTATTCACCAGACACCAGCCACTCGACACCAGGCACCAGCCACCAGACACTACGTCCTTTGCATCCACCAAAATGCTCCGAGACACCAGCCACCAGATACCAGATGCAATATTGCTTCCCAGACACCAAAATGCTTCGAGACACCAGCCACCAGATATCATTCACCATCCACTAGGCACCATTCACCATCCGCCAGCCACCAGACACCATCCACCAGGCAACATTCACCATACACCAGGCACCAGACAGCATTGTTTCCCATACGTCAAAAAGATTCAAGACACCAGACACCAGCCACCAACATTACTTCCCATATACCAAGAGCTTCGAGACACCAGACACCAGACACCAGACACCAGACACAACATTACTTCCCATGTACCAAAAAGCTTCGAGACACCAGACCCCAAAGACTAGACACCAGGCACCCAGATGGTACGAATATACACACCCTTTATTTTTAGTTATCGATGGGTTTCAATTCAGGCCTAGTCGAGGCCTTGAGAATGGTTGACCTGTAATAAAGTTCGTAACAAGTTGCCGTCGTATATTGTTACTTTTCTGTAAATTTTGAATTTTTTTTTATAAAATCAATGACGCNTCTGAACATTTTGGAAGATTTTTGAAAAAATAACTCATTAATCTTATAAAAATTTCCTTTCCGGATTGCGTATAAAACCTGTGACCGTTTAATATTTAATTAGTATTATTTCCTAAAAGGGGGATTTAGGGCAATTAAATAATGAGGACAAATGAGGGATAAAATTAACTGAATATCTATATTTCTATTAATTTACATGACAGATCGTCGTAAGATGCTTGAAATGCCGTTTACTTGGATCTAGGGTTATGGGTAAGGCCAGGCAACTTTTGTACACGTAAAAAGGGAGTGACTCTAATGCAGGAAAAAGGGGAGAAGCTAGTCGTGTCGAGGGAATGCAACTAGATATAAAAATAATAACTGAAGGGGCAGAAAATAAATAGTGTAGGCTCACCGTTGGGGGGTAATATCGGGGGAAAAGGGAATACTTCTGGGAAAATGTTCAAGGTAACTTGTACTCACGACTACGTGGGTATAGCGTGGGTTTTCGGATATGCACGACTTCCAATCTTTCCAGGCGAATCCAGCTTCCGGGGTTTTGGTCCAAACAAATGGGAAGATGACCCAAACACTTCCAAAATTCCTCTTAACTGTTTTCTGTCTTCAAGGGCTCAAGAATGGGAAACTCAAAAATACACGTGGTTACACAAGGGACTGCTGTGTAGCGAGTGACTTCTTTCTTCTCTTCTACATTTTCTCTTTCGTCGCGATTTCTTCGCATTTCTCCGTATTCCTTCGTTTCCTTCATTCGTCAGATTTCGTACTTGATCGTCACCTGACTTAGATCTCTGCGGGGGGCCAGGGGATATCATACAGGAGCGTAGTCACCTAGGCTGCTGATGATGCGTGTTTTTGAGGAGCGTCTGTGGGTATTCTTCCAGGGGGCACAGGTTTTGGTCAGTCGAGTTCATAGGCCGGTTATGTTGACGTCCTTCGGATGGTCTCGTCTCTGCTTCCAGGGGGAAAGGTAAGGGGGAGGGCGAGGGGAAATATTGGGGAGGTTAGGTGGCCAACGGTGGCGGGAGTTTTAGGGGGTCAGAGTGTGGTGGGGAAAAGAGTGACGTAAACATATTAAAAAATAAATAAATGTGCCTCGTCACAGCTGTCCCGGGGGTAGAGAACACATAGGGTTTCCACAACCCTATGTTGAACGATATCCAAACTTTCATGATACCCGACTGCTCCAGGAAAGGTGAGACTGGAATGAAGGCTCAGACATTATTCATTAACTTAAATGTATTTTCTAATCATGTACAGGGTACATTACCACATCGTTTATCATACCGTTTTGGTTTCATGATAACGCCGGCAAAACTCGCTCTAAATGGACTCAAAATAATCCTCCAAAATAATTATTATAAAAAAAAAACAAAATAACTCAGAAAATCCTATTCCATGGCCTTTTGGGTAACAAAAGGAAAGAAAATTACACTAATCGTCTTCGGAAGAACGAGGGGATATCTTGGGCTAGTGAGGGTGTCAGAGGGGTTAACTCTAGGGGAATAGGGCTATTCTGAGGATAACCATGGGGTCAATGAATGAGAACGTGGGGTATCAGGATCAGGGACAACTAGGGTGAAGGGACATGGGGGTTGTGGGGATTCACCTAACTTCGTCGCTGGGGGGGATGATTCGATTTTTGGGGGCTCCTTATCAGTCTCGTGGGGGAAAGATGTAACTACTTCAAAACCTAAACTAACGACAATTTTATCCACGAGTGATTTTAACTAATAATCATTATGGATCTCTGGGCAACTTTGTGCAGTCATGCTTTCATCGCACCAACTGATTATACAATCTCTCATATTCTGGGGTATTTCGGCCCACATTGGGTCATGCGAAATATTTTTAACCTAATTCTAACCTAATTCCAGGATTCTTAGAATGCGTCAGGGCCCTCCCAACTTTCTCTGAATATTTTAAAGACATTGGGTTCTATTTTGGGTTCTCCGGGCATTTCAGGGCCTTATGGGAATCTTGAGGGCACATCATGACTCTTGTGGGGCTCTTGTGACTAGGGGGATTTTGAACTCTGGGATATCAGGGTGAATATTTACAACTATGGGGTTTTTCCGGGTTATTTCTGGGGATTTTGGGGAATTCTAAGGGTCGGTCTAGGTATTTGGGATCGTGTTCTGGGTTCTTTAAGGGTATTTCGGGGCCTCGTGGGGAGCTTAGGGGCTTTCCTGGGGGATTCCGGGCCACTTTGGGACCTTACGGAATATACTAACTTAATTCTGGGAACTATTCTTAATCGGGGCCTTCCTTGAAGATTTCAGGCCACTCTTGGGCCATACAAGGTATACTCAAATAACTCGGGGCTTCCTTTGGGTATTTCGGGCCACTCTCGGGCCATACGAAATAATAAAAAACATTTTTGCGTATTATTCTGGGTCTTCCGGGGATAGGGGCACTTACTGACCTATAACTAATCAATTCCCTTGATTTCTATTTCAGGGGGGTATCGGGGTGACTAATTAACCTATTATACATCCCAATTCTTCTAACCTAACCCATTAACTAACATAAATGATTGACTGGGAGAACTCATCAATAATTACTTAACGAATGGGTGGGGGGCGTGGTCGGGGAGTCAGGCTGAATCTGGGAAGATTCCATTCCTGGGAGGAATGTTTCCATTGTGGGGGTGGTGCGATACTTAAGGACATGGGCGCGGGAATTTCAATTTCATTGGGATGAGGAGTTGTTGGGGGGATGAATGCTGAGGTTTCTTGGGTCGCTGGGGTTGGAAAAGTGAGGATTCTAGGGAATGAGCTGGGGTTCTCTGGTGGGAGGGGTCTGGGGCATTGTTGGGTCTGTCTGAGGGCTGTTCTAGGGACGAAGAGTCAGGGGGTTCGGGGTCTGATGGGGGCAAGGGTGTACTAATGGTCCCGGGGGTGAACGAGTCGTATGGGGGGGACTTTCTGAGGCTCTCTTCTCCGGGGTCATTCAAGATACTACCTTTCCCAACATCAACCAATCGTAAAAGAATGATGGCCAATGTTCTCAAATTATTCACTGGGTCCTTCAGTTGGATCCCAGGAAAGCAACCCTCATCTTGCTTAAATCTGCAATGGCATATTGCAGCATTCACTTTGAAATCTTGACCTGGAGGGTCTGAAGACGTACTATTCCTAACTTTGGTAGATCTGCTGAGGGTCATATGGGGGTCTGAGTTGCCCACTGAAATATCAGGGGGTCGGTTCTCACAATGAGTCGAGGGTGGTCTATCAACTGCAGGGGAACGAGGGATTCTCGGACTCACTGGTGGAGGGATTGGATTCAGATTGAATAGATGGGGAATTTTCATACTCATAATCATAGGAATGCGAGCTAGGCTGGAGGGATGGGGAATTTTCAGGGATATGAGTGGGAGGATTCGATCCAGGATGGATAACTGAGGAATTCTCAGAGACATGAGTGGGGGGATCTGATTCATCTGGGGAGGGATTTCGGGATCTTCAATTACGTTTCCTTTGAGATCATTGACAATCATGGTCTCTCTACTTTCTTTCTTTCTGTGACTCGAAAAATCTGTGGGCTTACTTTCTCTGGAAGGAAGGTCGTGCGATCGATTGGGTGCAAGAGCCTCGGGGTTCGGTGGTAATTCTGGGGGAGTTCTGGGGCTTTCTCCTGTGGGGTTCTGGGGGGTTTGTTCAGAGGGACACTTGGGTTTAGTACTGACTGCTAGGGGGATAAGCTGGGGCTGGTTATAGGCGATGGGATGAGCTTCGAGGGAGGGGTCAATAGGGGAAACATTCTCATTTCTATTGGGAGAATTTCCTCTTTCTTTTTTATCACTGGACTGTGTGAGTGAAATCAACACTGATGAATCATCCGACTGAGAGGAATCTTCACTATCGACTCCAAAGAAAAATTCTAAATCCCGTTGACTGATGGGATTTTCATTTTCACCTTCGATACTAAAAAAGAACTCAATGTCGCGTGAGGAAATTTTTGTCTCTAACTCCCAACCCATTTTAACTCGAAATTTTAACGTAATTCACACTTTCTGGAAGTTGGAGGGAAACAACTACCCGCGGGTTATCCCATTATTTCTCACGGCTAATCTTAACAAGACACGAGAGTCCCCCTTTTCAGGTTCGAAAAGTCGGAGAAAGCAGGAAAATTGAACTGAAATGAGTAGCTATTCTTCCCGTTACATTGATAAAAAGAAACACTAAAGAAAAAGAAAAATCTTGGAAATTTCTACACTAAGAATTTCTAGTTTGATTCGAAAAGGAAAATGTTGGTTTAATTTAGGGATTCTACTTTAATTTCAAGGAGGGGTGAGGGGAGTTTCAAGGTGGGGTGGGGGGGAATGGAGGGATACGAGGGGATTTATGCAATTTATGAAAAACGCGGGAGACCAGAAATAAAAGGCGAGGGAATGACGAAGTCAATACTCGAGGGGTGGGGGTGGAGAGGGGGGTACAAGGGGAATAAATTCGAGGGCACACAGTAGTCAAAAATAATTTCGAGAAGAAAAATATTCGAGAGAAAAATATTCGAACGAGAATGCACAGTATAAAGTAAAGATGAGTGTATCGGGCGACCGTAACTGCGTTACGCGA